CTTCTGTTTATTCCAGATTAGTCTTGGTCTGCCACTTCCAGCCTTCACTTGAACTGTGCCTGTGGTCCTCCATTTTCTCACAATCCTTCCCCTAAACCATGACGGTGAACAATCTTTGTTTTCAGCTCATTTGAAAGTTGTTTTGAGACTCCCATGCTGCCACTCTTCAGAGAAGATGCAAAGAGGAGAAAAACCTACAATTGCCCCCCTTAAATACCCTTTCTCATAATTGGAGTCACCTGTTTATGGAGGTCAAGGGTCACTGAACTTACCAAACCAAATTTTAGTTCCAATAATTAGTTCTAAAGGTTTTGAAATCAATAAAATGAAAACAGTGCCCACATTTATGCACCTGCCTAATTTTGTTTAACCTATTATTGCACTTCTTCTTTAAATCTTATAAACTTCATTTCACTTCTCAAATATCACTGTGTTTGTCCCCTATATGATATATTTTACTGTTTTTTTTTATCCAAACAATCAATGATATATAAAGGTAAATCAGGAAAATTACCAAGGGTGCCCAAACCTTTGCACCCCACTGTACATCAGGTGTGGGAATGTAACCATCACGTCAGTCTAATGAAGCTGGTTTTCTTCACCTAAAATCTCCCACATTCATTTATTTTTTTTAGTATTCAGTCATTGTTGATTGGTATGCCAAGGGCGTAGCAAACCTTTAACACAACACAGAAAACTTAATGAAAATGCTCAACATTTATTCTGTCTGTTCACCTGACTGGTGTGGAGAAAGCGAGAATGTCTCTAGTAAATCAGATTAAAGGTAGTGTGTTTTTGATGGGGCGGCCATCTTCCAGTTGGGTCTGGAAATAACAACAGGACCTCTTTAGAGGGGGGTACTTCAGAAAAGTGGGAGTTTAGGCATTTTTACAACATAAAGTTGAAAAACTCTCCTTTCTTGGTCTTTAATTACCAATGCAAAGTTTGGCAGGAAAGTCAAGGGACTTGAATAGTCTTACTGTACCTTGTGTTTCATTGAGGACACAGAATAGTTTGACCCGCTTAGATGGGATGGTCGTCCTCTCATCACAGGGTCAGAGTTTGATCACCAGATTCTGCAGTGTGCCAAAATGTCCTTAGACAGGACACTGCACAGCTGGCCATTATTATGCTTATTGGTGTGTAACTGAGAATATAAAAGTGCTGTATAAAGTGTGTAAAGTATAGAAATGAAGTACTACTGAATAGGAAAATATAATGATTTATAAACCTGAAGGTTAAAACGAGACTAAATAGAAGTTTGATCATGTTTCATTTTGGAGAGAAAACATTTAAAATGGTTAAATATGCAGAAACTATGATCACTTGTGCACTTTTCTTTGGGAATATTTGCTCCAACGTGTTTGAACGTTCATTGTTCCGATCATTTACTAAGAAGTTACCGAAGTTACAGAAGAATCACGTGTTGTTTTGCAAATTCCAGCA